AAGGCCCCCCAATCCACCGATCTACCGACAGCGATCCTATATAGATATATGGTAGATAGTCCCCTCTCATAAGTCGCGGCCCTTACTCCCGAATATGAAATGGAGCAGGCACAAGGAGGCCTCCAAAACGCTGGGCTATATTTAATACAGAGTGACATTAATGTCAGGCACAATTAGTCGGGGAGGAAAACGGCCGACGGAAAAGCGAAAAGGAAGAAAAACAAGGCGTTTTGGAAAAAGAAACAATCAAAAAACGATAAACGAGGCAACCAGAAATAATTTGACAGCCATTCGGGCAGCCCTGAAAAAATTGAGATATATGCTGGGGATGAGGCTGATCATCCGATGATGATCATTTTGTTATTGCAGCTTTCGATCCATTCGATTTGATTCATTTTTTTTTTTTATTGGTACGTGTGTGAACCCAATGAACTACGAAATTCGCCCTGGCCGTGGCCTTTTGTCTGGCTTTTGTTGCCAATTCGTAAACAAACAATTACACAACAAAGCATCGGCAAATGGGCCACCAAAAAAGAGATACTCCATCCACGTCGCATTAGACACCTTCCCGAAGAATGGGAATATATAGATCGCACACAATGGGATGTCAGAACTCGAGCACGGTGGCATTGGCATCCCCACACATGGCCCTATACCGACTATACCATCTATATCCTATCCATGCCCTCAATTGTTCGACCAACTTTAATCCCGGCCTGCGGCTTCAGACATCTCAATACGCCGTTACAGTTGCGATTGCGAATTTGGGATGCGCTCGATGCGATCGCTGATCTCTTTGTAGTCGTAATCCCGATCCCGCCTGGGGGACTTTCGATTCCCGAGATCCCTGCCAATTTATAAAAAACAGCCTCAGCGCCCCTGGCTCGGAAAATTGTTCTTTTCGCTATCTTATTGCTGTGTTGACGCTTTTCTCACACAGTTCGACGGGCGCGTGGTATATGTGTATAAAGCGAATCAGATAAAAGATATAGTTGAGCGTGTTTATATCGAGCGAAGAGCAGAGTAGCTACGATTTTACAGTGGGTGGTATAATAAGCGTTTTTCTTAATAAAGAATTATGATTTAATAACTGTAACAAAATACAATCAGTTCGTATTAACCCTGCTTAAAATAATCATTTCAAAATTATTGTAATGTAAAATGATTTAAATTTATGGTAAAGCCTTATAATGAGGTTCAGTTTTTAAAGACTATGTATTTTAATATTTTTATGGTAGTTTTATGATTTTATTTTAACTATTTAAAAAATCATATTAATAAATAAATATAAAACTAGAATCTAATTTGATGCCTCAAACTTAAGTACTTCTATTTCTTATAGAAATACGTACATATATGGTTTCATTTTATTATTAACCAATAAAACTGTTGAATATTTGGAGTAATTGCATTACTAGGATCCCCATTTATATTTGCCATAAAGTCTCACACCCACTGTGCCTTCGGTGGGGCACTCGCCACTGAGCGGCAGCAGCAGGCTCCACTGTGCTGCCACAGTGGCAACCACATAAACGGGCACCGGCGGCGTCTGCCGTTGGGGGCGGCAAAGATCAAAGACTAGCGAGCGGTGCCTGCAAAACGGTTAAATCTTTTGAAATGTGCGCACTTTTTGACACCCAATTTGTTTAGAAGTGTGCGCACCAGCTGGGCGAAAGGGGGGCTAGGGGGAGCTATAAAGGGGGGGGCCTTCTTAAGCAGTCCATAAAATCGCAGCTACACTGGGAAAATGCATTGCAATATAGGTTTTTTAATCATAATAAATAAATCTAAGTTAAAGGATTTAGAGCGGAGTATTTTAGGAAAAAACCTTTGCTATATGTGTTATAATATTTTGTATACCATATTAATACTATTTTTTTCGAAAGGACTAGCTATTTTTCTCCCTGTAGAGAGTGAATATTTTTGTGATGAAGAGAAAATGAGAGGCAGCACATCAGTGGGCAACTTTTTCTGCGAATTTCATTAATAAAACTGTCGAAAGTGTTGGGCATCAAGTGCTCTGCCCCCTCGACAGGTAAAAACGGAACAATCAAACGAAAACTTTTGATTTGGCATTTTTGTTTTTAATAAAAATTCTAAAGATTTACAGCACTTCCAGGCAAGTAATTCCACTTAAAATACTGTTAGAGCAGAAGAACCGAGGGAAGAAGTGCCCGTGGGCACTACGTCTTCATTCATAAAAACGCTTAATTAAGAATTTTTCCAAATAAAAATGGAAGGCTTTGGGGAAATGGGATAATAATAAGTTTATTGATTTGGGAAATGCCACAAGCCGGATGTTTATCGACTACACTACGCACAACATCATGATCATCATCATCATCATCGGAGTTATAGAAGGGAACCGATCGTAAAGCAACGTGTGAAACGTGAAGGGATTATCGGGGTTTTGGAAACCGGAAGATAACCGATTGCCATTTCGCAGTTTTTCCCCTCGCTTTTCAACGGCAATTTTCCCAGGACCAAAAATACCAAAATCCTGGCTAGCAAGTTGGTAAGTCAATCCACCGATTAGCAAGTTACGGAATTTCCCATTTGGTCATTCTATGCCAAAGTCAAAACATGCGGCCTGTGTTCGCGCATTAGGTTGGGAAAATCACCAAAGACACGGAGGCTGGATTTATTTGGACAAAATGACTTTGCAAATGAGATTCGGTGGCTGCAGCCTGACCACCGAAGATGTCAATATTATCATGGGTATCACGGGGATTGGGATTCTGGCCTATGCAAACAGCAGCCTTTTGGCCAAGACCAAGACCAACGAAGGCTACCTGCTGTGACAAGGGCCTTGTAGGTGTTTCGAAGGTGTGCATAGTTTCTGTTAATTTCCAACACCTCCGACACTCGAGTTTCGCCCAGCTAGCAACGTGACCCATGGCCCCGGGTCGGGATTTGGGCTCGGATTTGTCCACTGGGCCAACGGGCCAACCTGCCAAGTGCCGCATGTAGCCATAATCGATGTGATTAGGCCGTGATGTCTACGGAACGATCGGGACCTAACCCTTGGCCCCCACGGACGAGTAATCAATAAATCCCAACTCGGTGACGTATTTGGACAGCCACTGACAGCCAAGCAGGCCCAAAAGAAACAACCAAAAGAAAGTCAAGAAATATCTAAACTGACGGAAAAATACTCTTCTTATTTTAATTTATATATTTGGAATTTATAACTATAATACGGTTTTTGCTAATTTAAAACAATTTTTTAAAAATTGAAAGAAATTTGTATTTAAATTTTAACGAAATCTCAAACATTTTTCTAACACTTACCAATTAAATAGAAAACAAATATTTTATAGGCCTGTGAAACAATAAATACATTTCCTAATACTTAAAATTATTTCAGACTCAAAAAATAAAATTATAAAACATTTTTCTACATTTTTATACCCGTTACTCAGTAAAAGGTATTGTATTCGTGCAAAAGTATGTAACAGGGAGAAGGAAGGTTTTTCGACCCATAAAGTTATATATTCTTGATCAGGATCTAGCCGAGTCGATTTAGCCATGTTCTTTTTTTTTTTTTTTTTTTTCCGTCTGTATGAACGCTGAGATCTCAGAAACTACAAAGCTGAAGATTGGCATTTTGCATGCAGATTTTAGGAGTTCCTACGCAGCGCAAGTTTGTTTCAAATGGTGCCACGCCCCCTCTACGCCCCATCGCTTAATACGATTTTAAAAACTTTAATATTTTGGAAAAGTAAAAATGAGTTTTATTGTGTTTATCATACCTATCGAAATGTGAAGAAATTTTTTAAATCGGACCATTCGTTAAAAAGTTATGCGTTTTCAATCTATATCTCCATCTCCCTCGCACTCCCTTTACCTGAGTAACGGGTATCTGATAGTCGGGGCACCCGACTATAACGTTCTCTCTTGTTTAAATTTAGGGAATTACTTTCACTTACTTACAAATCTGAGAACTAGTGAGAAAAAATCCGTATTAATTATATTATTGTCTAAAAAAAAATAGTTTAAGAAAATAAATAAAATAAAACAATTTTGTTTTAATTCTTCAAAATTCTTTTCTTTTTTAATTTTTCTTTTTTAAAAACCTAAAGCTCTAAATTTATTATGTGTTAATTACATATTATACATTTCAATTTCCACTTCTATGATAAGCTCAATATACCCCGTTTATCCCAAAGCAGGGAAACGAATCGTCTTGGGCCAGAAATAACTGGATGACTCGGCGGGAAATGATTGTTGGCGAGCCCCGGGGCGAGTTAGAGAAGGAAATGAGCTGCACTTAAATGCATGCGAGAAAACCACTCGATGCCAACAAGTGGATAAGAAGCCACCACACAAATGATGCCCAAACGAACTATCAATGTCAGTGAATTGGCAAAAAATTTAAACTCAATTTGTATGCAGGCCAGCGGAGTTGGAATCCGAGATGTGGAAGATGTGGAGTCCGGCCGGGGCCACGAGGAAACCCTTTAGCTGACACACCTCAACGATGCAGCGACCTCAAGTGGGTCCACCGCATCCAGGTCTGCTGCGGCATTAATGTGAACGAGGTGAGCGCTGAACACCCAGCCAGATTGGTATTGGGTTCCGAGCTCCTAAGCCGCTAAAGCATGCGTAACAATGGCCAACACGAAATCTTAATGATCGCCAAGCGAAGCCAAGCCAAGGAGGAGTCGATGACCAGGCACATTTTCGTATGCCCAAAAGAGCTGGCGAGTTCCATTCATTGATTCATTCAGGTCGGGCCCTAAATGAAGTGCTCCAAGTGTTTCCAACGCACGCAGGATCGCTGCGATGATACACATATCGATTTTCATGTTTATTATTTCATTTTTCGTACATGTGTGTATGCCATCGTATATGCCTTTCCAATGCCTCTTAACTCTACAATACAATACAAAGCGCTGGCAAATGAGTTTCGGAACATAATTGGAATTTGCAGCCAACAGTTGTTAATCATAATCAATATACAGGGTGCGTAATAATAAAAGTAGTACATATAAAGTATAAGATAATTTTTAAAGCGAATATAACATATGCACGTGCCGGTGAATACTCCTCGATTTCAAGCCAATACATTGGAAGTTGGTTTAAGGATTCAAGCCACAATCTCGCCTAAGGTCCAAAAGGAGTGGGTGGGGAATTACGGGGGTTAGGGGCCTGCTGCATGCGGCAACTCTTGTCTTTTCACAACAATTTGCTAGTTTGGTTTGAATGATTCGAATTCGGAGTCGGCTTAGTTCTTGAACTGAAAGACGAGTATCAAGATGATGGCCAACAGCACGGCGCTCAGGATGCCCACCAGGATCAGCTTCTTCTTGCGCACTTTGTTCTGGAAAATACGTGATATCAATGCAGGGAACTGCTTGAAGGGATTATCGAAGTTCTTACCCTATATGAGCTCGCCTTGCGCAGATTCTCCGTTCCCTGTGATACGAAAATGCTAGTCTGCTCCACCTGCGACTCAATGGAGTCCACCGTCAGTCCCTGTTCGTAGACCAGGGCGCCCAGCTTCTTGTAGATCTCGTTCACGCCCACAATATTGCTCTCCAGCTCCCGGATGACCTGCTCCTGCTCCTCCAACGCCTGCAGGTCCACCTGCTCCTGCATCTGCGCCTGCTGCTGCTGTTGCTGTTGGCTCGATTTGCGATTGAAGAAGTTGTCCTCGAAGAAGGAATTGTTGTCCTGCTGGCTGGCGCTGCTGTTGGAGCTGCCGGTGCGCGAGGAGCCTGGTGGACGGGCGATGTTGTAGCTATCTCCGCGCGCCTGCCGCAGCGCCGTCTTCTCTATGTCCGCCGTCTTGCGCTGGACAGCCTAAAAATACCAATCGATAAACATTCCGGGCATGAGTCACAAAGCCATTTGCTTATCTGCGAGATGAAAAAAACAAACCTGGAAGGCGGTCAGTGCCGCCGTGAACTCATCGACCAGTCTGTCCCGCTGGATCTTCAGGTGGCGCTCCTTGCACTTGTCCACCTCGTTGATTTGATTGTTTGTGTCGGTCACCAGCTGGTTGGTGTAGGTCATTATTTGGTGGCTGTTTGGGGAAGGGATTGTTATGTTTAGCGTGCTCTATAAATAGGTTTGAAGGGTGAATCATGCTAGGTTGTTGATTGTTGATACTGGGATAGTGATTCGGTACTTAATAAGATAAGTACTACTTATTTAAGATGTAGTAAGTATACTTTCTTAAGCTCTCTTTTAATGATGAAGATTTATAAAGAATTTGAAAATATCTCATTATGAAATATATCATTACACAAATACAAATAAATGGACCTCATAAAACTATTAGGTTGTAAAATCAAGTACACTCCGCAATAAAACTGGTTTTAAAATGAAATTAAAGTTATAGGAGTTTTTTAAATATTTTTCTTTTAGATCTAATGATCTATATAGAGTAGGAATGATATGCATATCTCTTATCTATTTGCTGATAACTAATAAGAATACAACAATAAAGGTTATTTTTCTTAAAGATTAATCCATATGCACTAATTTAGATTAATCTTTTATGGCATATTCTAACAAAATGAGAACTTCAAGAAGAAATTATACAAATCAGTAAAACGGGAATGATTTAAAGATAATGTGTTGGAATGTTTTTGTGAATCATTAAAAAATTCATTGTATAGAGGCTAGTAAAAATCCCCAAAATGCAAGATTATGAACAGATCAGTTGGCTATATCTTACAGCTGCTTCTTGAGTTCCGGGGAATCCTGGGGCGTGTTCAGTTGATTGACCATGCGCTGCATAGTAGACACTGCGAAAAAGAAAAACAAAAACAGATAACAGATTAGTCATAGGCGAAAGTTTTGAACTATGTATAGAAGAGCACCCACCATTCTGCTGGACCTTTTGGATGCTGGTGGCTATGATCTGGGCCAATCTCTGGAAATCTATTTCGCTGAGGCCACCACCCCCGCCTCCAACTCCTCCTCCCCCGCCACCACCATGGCCATTCAGGCCATTCTCCATATGCTGCAAGTCCATGCTTTCGTAGGCAGACACTTTGGTGACCTTCAAGTTATCGCTGGCGACAAGTTATTCCTGGAAGAGAACCGACAATCGAATTAGCTGCTGGCCCACTTATATCACATTCGTTTTTTATGCGTCTCAGCCAGTTTCTATTCGCCCGTTTGTTTGTTTGTCGAGATGTTTGTGATTCAGTTTCCTATTCCCTTTGTTTGCTGCCAACCACCCACCTTTGTGTTTGCCCTTGCTGCCCGTTTGATGACCTTCGCTAGTGGCCCTGACCCAATGGCATCTCTTTTGCACTTTTATACGCGTTGCACACCCTTTAATTTGTGGTTTTAAAGCCGTTGAAAGTTCGCAAAACTGCAATTTTATTTAGTTTTTTACAACAATTGGAAAGGAACTGCCAACTTGGGGGAAAACCACTTTCATTTAGCACCTAAAACTGCCTTATCGCCTTTTTGGTGAATGGTGACTTTGCAATACCTATTTTGCACATTTTACAGCACTAGAAAATTTATCGATATGTGGCGCGAGCTTCAAAAAGGAAATAATAAATAATAAATAATGTTGGTGTTTATAAAATTAAATAACTATTGAGAAAAAAAATAAATAATTTAAAAAAAACAAAAATATATTTTTTGTTTAATTGGCTTTTATAAAACCTTAAAAAATTTTTCACGAATATTTTTGTAGAAAATCCTTAACTAAAAAGGATCATAATAAACTTGGTCAGAATTCCTTAAATTCAAAATAAAGACAATTATCTACACCATCTGAACGATGTTTACTTTCTCTACATTGATGGCAACCAGGATAAGAACACTTGAACTAAACCGGTTTTGAAAATAAAATATTTAAGATTCTTGTTTTTCGTCAAAAAGTCAAATAATGCATTAAAGAACTTCGACTTAAAAATGTACTAACTGTATTGCTTACTTAGAAACCAGTCAGTACCAGAACCAAATAACTGGTAGACGAATTCAATGCAAACTGTTTATAATATGGAGAAGACTTTAGCTATAAACGTTTTGTATAATTCAATTAAAACAAACATTAATTATCCAAAAGCAGTATGTGAAATATCAGTTTCGGTATCCGGTGTTAGACGGGGTTAATGAACTTGAAAATATTTAAACGTGTGAGGGAGTTTCGGCGGCCTGCATCCACTAATTACATCATCTCCAACTGCGATTAACGGCATTATGCAAATGACATGTGCAACAAACCTGATTTCAGAAGAACAAAATTTCTAAAAGGGCATTAAGGCCTTTTAGTCCGATTCGAAATTAAAGATGAGCGGTTAATTTAGAAGCTTTCTAATACAGGGGCGGGTTTTAATTTATTGTCTCAGCGCTTCGGTAATTTGTCTCGCATTTTGGGGCCCCTGTTTTTTTTCGGGGATCGTATAAATAAGCCTTCAGTTTCGAAATGCGGCTTAGTCGATCCGTAGACTTCGTAACGGTTCGATCGAAAGTTAGTTCATCAAAATTCCGTGCGATGCGTGCTCTCCGGTTCTTTCTGGCTCTCGCCCTCCAACTCACGGCGTGTAGCAGCCAGTACAAATATGGGCCAGGTGCGTGACGTTAAGATCGAGATCAAGATCGGGCCAAAATATAAACTGAAAAAAGAGTGAGAGTGCGCCAGGCCGAAAAGCAAACTCAAAACATATGCAGAATTGATTAATCAAGTGCTAAACGGAATATAAAAGTCGGCAGCCAAATAAATTAAATTAAATATTTGACACTCTTTCCCAACAGAGATGTCAAAACACAATTTTGAAAATATATACGATAGAAATTTTAATATTCTTTCACTTAATATAAATGTAAACGTAATTAATGCAATTTTTATTTGTTTCTCAATTAAAAGAAAGTAATTTCCCTTTTTGGTGATTAATTCGAAAGTGAAGTTCAAAACAATAGCAATTGTGATCAGGTTTTCTTTTGTAAAACGACAGATGTGCTTGGAATTGATTAATTCTTGAGGTTGTACTTGAAATCATTTGCATATCAGCTTTAACAGTAAACAAACAAGATTTAATTGAGACTTGTCAGCAAATATTTTATATAAGTAATTTTAAATTTTCGCTTTTATTTTATTATAAAATGTTGTAAAATTCCAGAGCAATCTTGGGACCTAGACTCCATCTCTGAGTTGAAGAGCAAGGAGTTCTGGTTCCACGATGCCCAACGTACCCTCTACGAAAAGCTCTCCACGCCACCTAATCAATATCGGGCCAAGAATGTCATCTTTTTCCTGGGCGACGGAATGTCCGTGCCCACTGTAACCGCTGGAAGGATCTTCGATGGTCAGGTGCGTGGAGTGGTGGGCGAACGGAATCGTCTGGAATTCGAGAAGTTTAACTACGTGGGTCTCTCAAAGGTAGAGTAAAAATCACAATCCATATAAAAGATATTTGTAAGTAAAAAAGTCACACGCCTCCTCGTAAATTAAGCGCATAAATAACAAAAAAAAGAGAGTAAATTATTTTGTGTTGCCAAACTGGTCATTAAATGTGTACAATAATAAAATTATTTATACATAACTTTTAGTTCATTAAAAATAATACTTACATACGAACAACTTGTTAGGAAATATATAATTTTGAAAGAAATTTGTTTCTACGAAATACGGTAATTTTATAAGATTAAAATTTTATATACACACAAAAAAAGCATGTCTTCGTAAAATCGATATGTGCATGTAAATTTCTGGTTATGTAAAACCTATATCGTTTTTACATGAAATACTCATTTCGACCATATCAAATTTACCTGGCCGCATATCAAATTAAAATTGATCTTAAATTATGTAAAATCGATCTACGTTTCTTATTGATATTTTTTTGCGTGAAACTAAAGATTATAAATGAGCATCTCTGTTAAAAATCGTATCATCAACTGCCAGAAAATCAGGTGTTAAGCTAATAAATTGCTAATTAATTTAAGAAATCGGTTCTAAAATGTGCTAAAACTATTAGTTACTGATTAAGACCTCACTTTCATTTCAGACCTATTGCGTCAATAAACAGGTGGCTGACTCCGCCTGCACGGCATCGGCTTACCTGTCGGGGATCAAGGCGAACTATCTGACCATCGGAGTGAGCGCCGATGTGGAGTTGAACGACTGCAAGGCCTCCCGATTGCCACAGAATCGTCTCTCCTCCATCGCCGCCTGGGCGCTGAAAGGTAGGAAATCCGCTGGACTGGTGACCACCACCCGGGTGACCCACGCCAGTCCCGCGGGCGTCTATGCCCACACCTCGAATCGCGACTTCGAGAGCGACTACGATGTCACCAAATTGGGTCAGAATCCGGGAAATTGTCCCGATATTGCCCAGCAATTGATAGATGGGGAGGTGGGCCAGCGATTGCGGGTGGTGATGGGTGGTGGAACTATCAAATTCCTGCCCAACACCACCACGGATGTGTATGGAAACAAGGGTCAGCGGTTGGATGGCAGGAATCTCATCGAGGAGTGGCAACAGACCGAAACCAGGTAATGCCCGCGTGGTCTTTAATCGCACGGATCTGCTGGAAAACGATAACCAGAACACGGACTTTCTGCTGGGTCTCTTTAATGCCTCCCATTTGGCCTATCACCTGGACGAGAGTGTGGACACCCCTACCCTTCCCGAAATGACGACGGCGGCCATTAATGTGCTCTCCCGGGATCCCAATGGTTACTTCCTGTTCGTGGAGGGCGGGCGCATCGATCACGCCCACCACGAAACGAAGGCCAAGAAGGCGCTCGACGAAACCGTCCAATTCTCGGAGGCTGTGAGGAAGGCACGTCAACTGACGAATCCCTGGGACACCTTGATCGTTGTGAGTGCCGACCATGGACACACGGTGACCATCAGCGGCTATCCGGATGTGAACAACAGCATTGTGGGTTTGAACTCGGAGCTGAGCAACGTGGACCAGTTGCCCTACACGGCCATTTCCTACGCCAATGGTCCGGCCTACGAGAGATTCTACAAGTCCACGGACGGCGAGGTGGAGCGAGTTGATCTCCGGACCCTCGACTTTTCGAATCAGGATGCCATATATCCACATGGTGTCCCCATGGCCGAGGAAACCCATGGGGGCGGCGATGTGGCCGTCTATGCTCATGGTGAGTTGATCTAAATAAAGGAAAAAAATTTTTAACACAATGCAATAAATAAAAAAAATATTCATTGTAATTTTGCAAAGTAAATGCAAGTCAGAATAACAAAACCACTGATCTAAATAAATTTCTATTTGAATATTCTATATATCTATTATAAGGAATTTATTAAAAAGCTTTTATAATTTGTATCTTTTATTTTATAGGTCCTTGGTCTCATCTCTTCACTGGAGTTTACGAACAAAGCACTTTGCCGCATTTAATGGGCTTCGCCTCTTGTCTGGGACCTGGGATTACATATTGCGATCTGCAGCCCAAAGCTAGATACAATCCTTAGTTAAATATATTAAAGAATTAAGACAACGCTAAATAATTAGTTTAAATTAAAAAGCTTTTATATTTGGTTAAAGCTGTTTTGCTTAAGAAATATGCAAATATTTAAATGTTCAAATAAAGTTAAGGTGGATTCTTAACATCTTTCAAAATCTTCTTTATAGCTTTTCGCGATTTAATAAAATAAACCGATGAGCGTTAAATTTTGTGGTAACTCCCCTTATATTTACAATTTCAAAAACCGATACAAGCTATCGATATTATCGATCGATATTTTGCCGTTTGACACTTAGGTATATTTAGGCGGTTCTCAAACGGTTACACTAAAATCCGCACCGGTAAAAAAAAAATAAACAGGAAACAAATTGCGTATTTGTTAATTGTGAAAATCTAGCGTAATTCCTAGAAATTAACGCGTTCAGATGTCAGCCACAACTGACGAGGGCTCCCCGCCCAAGGGAGAGCAGAGTTCGGAAGCCAAAGAGCCCGGAAATCATTCCATATTCGACATAGAAATGGAACATCCAGATTCGGATTCTAATGAAAAGGAAAAGGAATTTCGGGACTTTACCAGGAATACGGATAGCGTGGATACCATTTTAAATACAACTACGGATGTGGCGGAAGTAATCGTTAAAAACACGGACAGTGATGATACGGTTCTATTCGAAGCGCCGCCAGATTCGGATGTGGAAATGGTGTCCACCAAGTCGGATGCGCAATCGGATGCACAATCGGATGCAAAGTGGGATGCCAAGTCAGATGCCAAGTCTGATCTCAAGTCCATAGCCAGATCGCCTCCCAATTCCTCGCCAGAATCGGAGCAAACGCTTCCCGAGCGACGGGAGCGGCGCAAGAAGACCAAGGAGCGCCCCGCTCCGCCGGAAGCGCCACCGCAGAAGCTCAACTGGAAGTGGAACCTGCGCATCCTGATCTCCAATCTGTACATGAAGAGCGAGGATCGTCTGCCGGGCGCCTGTGTCCCGAAGTGCCTGCACAACACCAGTCAGTGCACGGAGAAGCATCGCTGCTCCATGCTCCCCGATGCCCCCAACTTTACGGCCGTCCAGGCGCTGCGTACCACGCTGCATGGCCAACACTACGATACCTTCCTGGACATCCTGGAGATGATGGCGCTGCAGTGCGTCTACCCGGGCGAGGGAGTCTTCGACAGACTCATCGACATGGCGATGGTTGGTTTACCCATCTAATCTAATCAAAAATCTAATCATGTTCTTTTACAGATCCTGATTGCCAAGGAGATGAGCGTCAAGGAGCTGGGCGACACCTACAACAAGCTCATACGCACCTTCTTCCTCCTGGTCGACGCCTTCCCGCCCTGCTGGACCGCCCTGCGTCCCTACTACCTGAATTTTCTGGGCGTCAAGAATCAGGCTACACGCGATACCCGCTCCACTGATTCGCCCCACAAGCTGCAGTTCTATCTGGATCTCCTGGAGGAGAATCTCTCGCAGTGCAGCGACGAGGAGCTGCGCGAAAACACCAAGTTCTATGAGAAGTTTGTGTTCAATTTTTCGGAGGAGGAGGATGCGAATATGTCGCAGGAAACTGTCTTTTTGCGGCATGTCCAGGAATACGATTGGCTGAGTGGCAAGCTCTGCCTGGACGACTTCAAGCGAATGTCACCCGCCGTCCGTTTGGCGCGACTATGTGATGTGCTGAACATGCTGACCTGGGTGCTGGAAATGGAGTTCCTATCGTGGTTGGATCACAACAGGTTGCGGCAGTCGGAGTCGGAGATGTTTCAGGAGGACTCCAAGCCGTTTGCCGCGATTGTGTTTGGAATGACGGCTAGTAGTCGGCTCACCGACATTGTTAAGCAAATCATGAAGCTTTATGGACTGGCAGCAGCGAAATCTATGTACCCTGAACGCCAGCGGATTCTCCAGGTGAGCTGCGTTATGATTTGCTTACTTTTTACCTTGAAAACAATATTTCTTATCCCACCAGCGCCTCATTTCCCTCGCCATCGAAGTTAGCAACACGGCCGAGCTAAAGTATGTGGATAACGCTGTGGTCTATCCCAATCTGGGCCCCCAAACCCGCCTGCTAATCGCAGACTTCTTCAAGATCTTCAAGTCGCAGAACCCCAAGCACATCAGCACCTACTTAAAGACCATTCCGCAGTTGGATCACCCGTACCTTCGCTTCGAGTTCACCGACCACTTTCTGCAGCTCTTCTACTTTCCCAAAAAGCTACCTTTTGGACCCGAAAAGGTGGTCGAGGAGTTCGGGTTGCGACATTGGCTGAATTACAAACCGAAAAGCGAGATTGAGGACGAGGACGACGACGAACAGTTGTCCCGCGAGGACTACTTGGGATTGCTACTAAGCGGTTTGAAGGACTTCGACAAGTGGCTGAATGTGGCAGGCTTTTGGAAGTATTTAAAGTGCAAGGAGCAAGTGCAGCCATTGACCACGAGAACCAGCAGTCCGCTGGCCACCCCGGTGGGTGTGATAACTGGCGATGAGCACAAGGTGTTCATGCTGGATGAGATGGAGGACGAGGTGCACACGTGGAGGGAGCGCATGAACACGAAGGTGATCATAGGAAGGCCGAGAGTGAATCTGCCGGTGGCCAGGATCAATGTGGCCAAGATGTGCCTGCGCTACGGCGAGGAAGTGCGACAACTGCGATTCCTGCGACGACTGCTGAAAAGCAAAGTTCAAAAGGAGGTCGACGTCTCCGATTGGCTAACTTATCTGGACAGTTTCCTGATCGGCGACGACCCACCATCGCAACCGGGCTCCGCATCTGGCACGGAATCAGATGAAGATGACTGAGTTCCCCTATTTCCTAAGCTCAATTTCGTTTTAAGGCCTGTCGAACCGAAAGTTCAATTCATTTTTAGTTTCTCTAAGCTCATCGGTTGAAAAAGATTTCTATAATTATGTTAACTAATGTTTAACGAAGCGGTTTCAAATAAGAATGCATTTGATTCATTGCCATTTGTCATAGTTTTTTTTTGTTTCTGTATTTCTCCATTGCAAATATATATTTATGCTGTAACTAAATACACAATTACGTACACATTTACATATAAATACAGCTACTGCGCATGTACATACATACTTTAATAAATATATATATATATGTGTATAATTATACAATATTATCGCGATTTGTTTTTAAGCCTTTTGCTTGCTTGTTTTCCATCTGCCACCTCGTTTTGCCTAACGTTTCTTGTCTTTGTTCATTGTATGTCTAAATTCTTTGCAGTTTTACATTTTACACACTCAACTATCATTAAATTAGGCTCTTAAATGCTAATCTCACTACGTCACTTATAGGTAAAGTATATGCATACGCGTGGGAGGATTTGGGGAAGCTGGGTGCAGAGTTCCGAATTCCGATCTCTACGGATCTTGGATCCTGCTGGAGATCCGCATATCATATCATCGCTCTGCTAGGTTGGGTTTATGGGATATTCGTTTCTGCTGCCGGCTTTCTTTCAATTCGTTAACACTACACATTTATCAACATTTATTTATTATTTAGGTTTCGTTTAATGTATCTCATCGCCACTTCCCGGCTCATCCATCGATTCGTATACATTTTGGGGTATTTTCGTTTTTGTTGCGCTTTGAAATCTATAGGAACTTGTGGCAGGAGTCCCCTGCTGCAGTTTTTAAAAGGTAATTAAGTCGGGCTGTGTGGAAACATAGAAAACAAAGAGGTAACATAAAAAGTCGCAGGTTGTATTTTTAGAAAATATTATTTTCTCTTTTAAAAAGGGTTTGTTTTACAATTTAGTTAAACTCTCTCCTTAACGCCGCCGCTTTCGCTTTATACATACAAATTGGAGTTGGGCTTTGTACAGAACTTGTTGCTTTCCTATCGCACAATTAATTGTTAATCAATTGGCGGTAGCTTGTGTTTACTTCATTAACTAATATTTAAACGAAGGCTAGAGCGTAACAGCTTTTGTGTTTCCAAATTATGCCAATGCAGAAATTAAAACTACTAAGACTAATCGATTAAAATTAACAAAACGCTGCATTTAAAACTATGGCTCTCTAGGGACTACGAAATTAGATAGTTTCGACCACTTAACGCTATTAGAATTTTTTTGTTTGCCGTTTTCTGTTTGGGGTATTGTTTATGGTTGATAGTTGTTATACGAAATTAAATAATTAAGCTAGGAATTTTCAAAACAAATTGTATTTGTGTGTTAGCCCAGACCAAAACGTCGGCAACTTTGACTAAGTCAAGTGCGTACAATTTATCTTAAACGTTAAATGCTAAATTAAACAATTTGAAAGTGAGGCGGATGGACAAATTTAAAATTTGAATTGGCTTCGTAAAGCATTTTATGTTTCTGTTTTCTTACACGCAATGACTTTTCGCTTATTACGGGTATTAGTTTTCTTTTTCTATTAGCCATTTAGCTTTCTTCTAGTTATGGTTAGGATTATTTAAGTGAGTAGAGAGTGTGGTTTAATCTATTTCCGGGGCTGAGAATGTGAGATAAGGTCCTTCTTCCTCTGGTTTTCTACTATTACATTTAGTATATCTGTTTCTGGTTGCGGATTTCTGTTTCTGTTTCGTTTTTCTGGGAGCATTGGGTGCTGGTGTTGGCGCCTTTCGGTTAGCTACTTTTGAAGCGTTTGCTATACATTCATCTTGGTAAGTTCTTAGTCACACATTTAAACCTTAACAACAACAACAATGTTCGCTACAATTAAACAACTAACAACAACGTAAGCGTACACACCAAACATGGCTCACTTCTGGCTCGATGGCTGCTCCTCTTGATGCTCCTGTTCCTGATCCTCCTTATCCACATTCTCCTCCTTGAGCACGTACTCGAGGAGCAGCTCATCGACTCATCCCTCGCGCTGCGTTGCCGCCGCCGCCGCTGACGTCGTGGCTGTGCCGCCATTCGATGGCGACTCCACCTTGATCACTCCCAGCTGCTGCAGCTCCTCGCGCGTATGCTGTATGCGTCCCACCACCACGCCGCCCATGGTCACAAAGCTGCCGTCCGCCGTCACGGCGCCCAGTTGCATGGCGCTGGAGAGATCCCCCAAAGCGGCCACATTGAATCCCTCCTGGAGGTGCTGCTGCTGTTGGTGTTGGGCCACTGTTGTGGCGGAGGGAAGCGTGGTAATGGTGACTCCTCGCTGGTCAATGTGCTGTTGCTGCGGAGGCGGAGGATGCTGCTGATGCTGCTGCTGTTGATGGTGCTGCTGATGCTGCTGCTGCTGGTGGTGCTGATGGTGGTGTGCCGCCAACGCCATGCGTCCTAGTCACCCCTCCTCCTCCTCCGTTTTGATCTTAACAGGAACGTAGACCTTGTCCATGACGTGGATCTTTATGTGGTTGTTGAGTGTGCTGGACTGTCGGAACTGCTTCTTGCAAATGACGCACTCGAAAGGCTTTTCACCTGTAAAAAGGATTACTTTTAGAAACTATTCTGGAATTATTCAGAGCACCACTCACCCGTGTGGATCTTCACATGGTTGGCCAAAGTGCTCAGCTGACGGAAATGCTTGGGACAATAGTTGCAGTTGTAGGGCTTCTCGCCCGTATGGATCTTCAGATGGTTCGTCAGCGTCGACGATTGACGGAAGGTCTTATCACAAACGTTGCATTTGTAGGGCTTCTCGCCAGTGTGGATCTTCACGTGGTTGGTCAGTGTGCTCAGTTGCCGGAAGCGACGATCGCAGACGGTGCAGTGGAAGGGTTTCTCCGGCTCGCGGACAGCTCCTCCTCCGCCGGATGGCAGCGCACCCTCGCTGGGATGCTCGCCATGTCCGTTGGCCAGGTAATGATCGCTCGGAATCGTCGTCGTTGGACTGTGCGTGGTCAGGTGCGTCAGGTGTGGCGGCGGTGGAGGCGGCACTGCCGGCTGCTGTTGCTCCGCCGCTGCAGCCTGAGCCGCTGCTGCCTGGGCGGCGGCCATCGCTGCTGCTTGGGCGGCACTGTGCGCCTCCGCCGAGATCCCGCTCAAGTGCATCTGGAAGGGCAAGGGGATTTCCGTGGGTGGCGGCGGCACAGAGGGAGGTCCGCTGGATTGCTGCTGCTGCTGCGGATGATGTTGCTGCTGCTGCTGTTGCTGCTGTTGCTGTTGCTGCTGGACCGCCGCCATGTGAGCGGGATGGGGATGCGTGGCCTGGGTGACCGTCTCATTGTTATTGTTATTCGCAATGGTGGTTTGGGGCTGGGCGGCCACTATGACAATGTCGCAATTGCTGCTCATCGCCGTGGCAGCTGCATGGGCGTGGGGCAGGCTCTTGATATGCATCATGGACTGCTCGCTGGGATCGGGAACGCGGATTTAGGGGGGAGACTTTCGGGGTACCTCGGTGACTTGATGAACGGAAAGCTGGCTAACAAACTAAGATCGATGCTTCAAAAATGCCACGACATGCTCATCTCTGGATGTTGTTGTTGCTAGTGCCTGTGTTTTTGGAGAAGGGAGAATGGAGAGTGGAGAATGGAGAAGGGAGATTGTGGGATTAGTCGACGGCGGCGGCTTGGCTTTTTGGTATGCAAAAATATGTGAGGAATTCCCAAAAACACACGAAATACCTAACTGCGAAATTATAAATCTAAATTATTCAATAGCTGACACACTTCGCTAACTGGGCCCCTTCTGCCAGTCCCCCCTTTTCCCCACATTCTCGGCGTTCTTTTTGTACCATTATTGGAAAAACGCAATTTGAGCTTTATAAACCGAATGTACTTTAGACCACCATACAATAATGCATAATAGTTTAAAAACTTTGGTATTTTTAAACCTTTGTAACAGGGTAACGTTTAATGACAGATCGGATCATGCGGCTATATAGTTTATTTGTCATTTAAAGCATAGCTTTAGTAACCTTTATCTATCATAGGAACGATCTAAACCTACTTGCGTAACTTGAGTATCTTTGAATCGTATTATATCTTAAAGTAGGATGGTCGTTTTATAAGGTTTTAAAAGGAAAAAAAATTTTTTTTATTAAAATTGGAATACTATAACTTATAAATGCCACAAGATTAGGCGATATTATTTGTACTAAATTCTTTGTTTTTTGAAAATAGAAAAAACGTCCAGGTAAAAATGGAATTTTTCTTAAAGTGTGATATTTGTTTTACAAGGTTTTAAAAGGGAAATAATGTGTTTTAATGATTACTTTTACTTTACTTTTAATATTACTATAACTCATAAATACCACAAGATCACGCGATCCCATTTGTCTGCTTTTGAAAATGGGAAAAACTGAAGGTAAAAATTTACTTTTTTTCTAATTTAAGATTTGTTTTTGGGATATCATTTAATGAGTACATTTGGCGTTACCAAAGATCGGATGACTATATGCCATATCTTCTACCGACTAAATAAGGTTGTCTATAACCCCTTAGGGTATCAACACTTCGACTTGCTCGCAATAAAGGGCATAAATTATAAATCATTCGATTATGCATTTTAAAACAAAATAAATACGCGCGCGCTGCCTGAATGCATGTAACTTTTTTACTTTTTTATTTCGAGCGCTGGTTTTTACGTCCGCCGGACAGGTTACTTGGCACGCCCCCCGCCCGCCGCCCCACTACTCACACACACAGCAGCAACACACGGGCCAACACACACACACACATGGAGCACTCAGGTATCTCTCTTTTTTTTGGTGTTGAACTGACAGCGTGTTACTTTCTCGCAAATTACATGTGTTTTCCTGGCAACCAAAGAAGTTGCTCATAACTCTACCCATGGAATATCCATCTAATCGAAACAGAGATCACCTGGTTAACGCACTGACCTTTTTTGGGCGGGCTTTTCGGGGGAGATTTTCCCTTTTTTAAAAGCAGTTTTTCCACTAACACGTTGCCTTCGGATCACCCCTCTCGCTCCCCCCCTTCGCCCATAAGTGGCAACCACTTTCAGTCGCACACTCACACACACGGAACACTCGCACACACACCCGTACTGTGTAAAAGCTCTTTTGAGGTTAGGAGACTTTTAATTTTGGAGCTCTCCGCTCGAAAATGTCCATTGTTTTTCACGCTCCTCCGAAATCCTACGATTACCAGGTGATTACGACTCGAAATCGGCCATTCTGAGACACACACCCGCACTCTTTTGGGGCGCCCACACATTGACCTACCTTTCCATTTTGTGGCTGTGCTGTGTGGGGCCTTTCAGGTTTAGATTTCCCCCCGTTTTACATCATTTTCCGCACTCGATTCGGTTTTTTTGGGGACACAGGCCGTCGGCAGGGAGTTCGCGCTTTGGTATCGCCAATCGAAAACGGGGCCTCACAGCATTATCTGTGGCTGGGTCTTCATTTATAAAAAGCGTATAAACGTTAGAAAAATAGTACAAATATTTCTTTTCTTTTTTTACTGTTTCGCGTACAAAATAGACGCGAATGAACTAGTGGGGATGGGCGATAGTTTTGGGGGGACCTGTTACTGGTCACGAGTGCGACAGAGTCACGAACGGTGGTCGTGACTTGCGGGGAAAGTTGTGCTTTAATAAAAGGGTTAACTTTTTATGGTTAAATTAAGGTAATTTAGATGTAAAAGTTGATGAAAAACATGGTTTGTGAAATTTATTTTAATATCCATGACTTATGTATATTTTGTGACCAAACTTGACCAAATAAAATAGTTTTAAATAAAAATAGTGTGCATATATGAAGTGTATAATTATGGTAAATAAAATAAAAAAATGCATAAAAAATGGGTAAAAACACTTTGCTTTGAATTTAAATAAATCTGCATATATACATTTTAAAAATTAATAAATAACAACCATTAGAAAGAAAATGAAATATATAATTTGGTTTAATTACTTTTCCAAAATGATGATTAAACATTTTTTATTTTCTTAAATTTTTTACCCCAATTCAGAGCCGAAAGTAATTTTAAAATCACTTTTCAACCGTGACGCATCGTGACTATCGAATGCGCCATCCTGCGCCAAATGAACTGGTTCCACTATCGAATGTTCCCCCGTGAGCGTGCAAAGTTTTCTCTGTTTTTTTTTGGTTTATTTCTCCCGCCACAGTACGGTCACACCGCCCGGAGCAGAACTTTTTTTTATGGCAATTTTGTTTGCTTTATTTTCATTAAATTGTACTTCAAGACCAAATGCAATTGCTTAGAAAAGTGCTGGCGCTGGTGCAAGTTTTATAAAATCGTGCAGACCCGCGACGCCTGCTGCTGCTGCTGCTCGCCATGTGCCTGTCCATTGGTTAAGCTCAGCTCGCTGTTCACCTTGTTTGTGTTCTTGCTGGGAATCCCAGCCGGCGGACGCACTTCATCTGTTTGTGGGGCGAAAACAAGAGGAAAACAAGAGGATTCAGGTGAGTCTACAGATGGGATTACTTGCACGGGATAACCATTAATGAGTACCTTCAATCCTGATCGCCTTTTCGTTGCGGCACGAGAGCCTGTCGATCACCTGCTGCATGAATCCCTTGGCCTCCTCCTCGCTTTGCTCTGCCACCGCCTGGACATGGGAATTGGCCCTCATTTGCATGGCCCGGATGTCTTCCTGCATGGCCTTCTTGCTGCGCTCCACCACTGCGTCCAGCGGATCCTCGAACGGATTGCTGGGCTCGAAGATATTCCCATTGCCATTGGAATTGTGGTAGGAGTTCACCGAGGCCGTTGTCCGCTCATCCTCCTCCTCGTTGGACCCCAAGGTGGTGGTCGTCTTGGGTGCCCCCTCCTTCGAGGACAAGTCATCTTCGCCGCGCGGCGTGGAAACGGGCGTGGTCTGCGGATCCGACTCCCTGGCCGCTTTTATCTGAAATAACGATGAGATATTCTCCTTGGCGCCCTGCACTTCGCTGGAGATCTTGCTGGTCACCGAGTCCATGGCCCTGCCCATGGAATCCTTGGTGTCCGCGGCCGCTTTCACCGCATTGCTGCCCGCCTGCTCCACGGCGTGCATTGCATCGCTGGCCATTCGCTGGGCGCCTTTTCCCGCTGCGCCCACTGCCCCGCCAACGGCATCCACTGCTCCGCGAGCTCCGGTGGCCATTCGCTCGCCGGCTGCCTCCATGGCGTCGCGGGCTCCATTTGCCGCATTTCTCACCGCCGTCTGGAAGGGAGTTGCGCGTGCTGTCCATGGATTCCATACGCTGCCTCTTCGGTATTTGTTACGATCTTGTCTAGCATTTGCTCGCCATCCGACTCCAGTTCCTCCACCGAGCTCTCCAGCGGCGTATCGGGCATCTGCTCCTCCACCTTGGCCGTCACATCGACGCCGTTGTTGATGAAGCGTATTTCGTTGATCACCTTGCTGCTGTCCTTCGAGTCGTTCGTCGTCGTGATCTCCACGGCCAGCTGCTCATCCTCCTCGGTGGGCGGCGTGGGCGTGCTCACTTGGATGGTGGCCGGCGGCGGCATCTCCTCCACCGTCTCCAGGCTGGACACCAATTCGAGCGGCGAGGTCCTCTCCAGATGATCGTGATCCATGGCCGCCTCGTAGGAGAAGTTTCGTATGGGTGTCTTCTTGATCGTTTGCGGTGTGCTGGAATCACTGCTCTCTGGGTAAGGAGTTCGTGGTCGCAGGAGCTTCTCCTGGCTGCCTGGGATTTGATGTTCCGGATTGAGTGATTGCATAGAGTGCATGGATTCTGTGGGGGATTTGGGAGGCGTAGGTGTGTGTGTAGGTGGTGTGGGTAGCTTCTGCATTGATTCCATGGGTTTTTTAGGGGACTCCATTGATTTAATGGGAGATTCTTTGGTCTTTACTGGTAAATCAGGGGGTTTCACTGGGGATTCCATTGGTTTTGCTGAGGATTCTTTTGATTCCTCAGGTTTTATTGGAGATTCTATAGGCGCCGTGGGCTCCATCTCTTTGTACTCCTCTTTGATTTTCATTGCTTCACTTGGAGGAGCTGTATTTGGATTATCTTTAATTTCTGGGTGGTCTTCCATGTGTTGATTTTTATCTTTAGGAGTTTTTGTCTCTTGATCTTCCATTTGATGCGGTTCCTCCTTCGCTGAACTGTTTTCTTCATTGCCATTTACTTCTAAAGGTTCTTTTTCGGTATTTGCATTTATGTCCTTGACTTCATCATTCTCCTCCGGTTTCTCACCATTGATTAAATGCTTCACTGCCTCCATGGCCGCTGCTGTTCCTGCGCCTGCGGCAGCTACCATTCCTCCCACATTAGCTGCCATGGATCGCTCCTCTGGCTCCTCCATGCCTTCCTGTTTGGTGAGTCCTCTATGTCCTCCGCTGTGACTCCTGCTCACCTGCTCGCCGTTTCCATTCGCATCCTGCGGTTGCAGCGCAAAACTGCGGCTCAAATGGCCACTCACCGAAGCTGAGGACATCGAGGAGCGCGGAATACCCTGCACCAGGACGTGCTGATCCCCCACCGCGATGTCCAGCAGCCGCAGGTTCTTAAACTTGGAGATCTCGCGGAAGGTCTTCAGATGATGGCCGCTCTCCGAAAAAGTGGTGAAGAACTTGTTCGCCTTGCTGAGCACCACGTAGAAGGAGAAGCCCTTGAGGAGCTTCCAGATCGGTCCGTTCTCCTCGCTGTCGTAGTCGTAGAAGCGCTGGAAGACCAGGCTCTTGTTTCGCACCGACTCGAAGCTGCGGTAGATGCTGCCCGCATTCGTTACGATATACACTTCGCTGGTCTTCGAGATGTGCATGAAGATGATGGCCTCCGTGGGCGGCAGGTTCTTCTGCAGCTCGGTGAAGCGCGGAAAGACGAACTCGTTGAGGTGGCCGGTGAGGAAGAGGTTCCCGCTGGCGGTCAGCACCAGCGTGGACTCGGGCCCGCAGGCGAACTGCTGCACCGGTGCGTCCAGGCGAATCTCCACCGGATGACCATCGTAGTCCGCCTCCAGTTCGCCCAGCTGCTGTTGAACATTCGAACCGCAGCCAATCAGCCGACCAGTAGCTTTTTAAGAAATAAGTAATTAAGTAAACTTGTAGCTCTGCAATTTCCCTGCAATTAACTCACCGGTCAGCACGGCAAAGTGCTCATTTCCCGCCTGGATGGCCATGAAGTTGTCCGTCTCCTCGCTCTTGGACAGGTAATCGTCGAACTCCTCCAGCCGAAAGGGTTTCCGGATAATGGCGCACTGCTGCTGCTCCACTTGGGCGGTGGTAAAGTGCTGCGCCACATGGGTATCATCGGGAAAGATGTTCCGACCGGTGAAAAAGATCTCGTTCGAATCTGTGGGTATTATTTTTGTTGATAATAATGAGGTAGGGGTTATTATAAATTCTGGTTTTGTGATATAACTGAACCAATGATTTCTTTAATTCTACATTTTTAAAAAGGTTTTAACTGACTACTTTAATCCTGAAAATAGAAATTGAATTTCTGAAATACACCCTTTTTTTTTGCAATTTCTAATGTTTTTAAACCCTGAAATTGTATGGGAAATCATTGTTTTAACCCTACTTTAAATTTAACAAACGGACGAGAAAATGGCCATAAAAGTTTTAACAATAATCATTATGTTTCAGTTTTATTTTTTCCGATCAGAAATAATTATTATTTTGTATTTTTATTTTAAAACTCATGAATAATTATTATTTTTATTTATTTTTTTTTTCAAAATTAATGATTTTTGTGTGACTTTTAAAATAAAACTCATAATAATTACGGTCCCTGTTTAAAACCTACTTTTAGATTAGCATGCGGAGGAGACTACAAATAGGTCAAAACCTTTTCTCATTTTTTTTTTGGCTGGTTGATTAACAATATGTTTTTCTTATGCTAGGTTCCTTAAAATATTAAATAATAAACACAGAACTAGACTGAACTGACCTGCAAAACAATTGGCAAATTGCTGCCATTGACTAAACTTTTTCGCCCTAACTAAAACTTTTGCCTGGACCAATTTCTTTGGTGACACATTGTGCGACTTAGCCAACTTGCAGCGCATTTGTTGATTCACTCACGTGTCAGCATCACGGCCCAGTGATTGCCAAAGGCGGCGTCGCAAATCTTTAATCCCAGCGTTTTCAAGGCCTTCACGCAGGTGGGCTTGGTCACAATGTCCCCCTGGGCGGCGCCTCCCTTCTTGCCGGAGGCTCCTCCATGGCCGCCAATCCCGAGCTGCCCGTAGTGGTTCTCGCCCCAAACAAATAGCCGCCCAGATTCTGTAATTGATAAGAACGCTTTGACATTTGCTTTGGCTTTTGTTTTTGTTTTATTATGTTTGGCGGGACGGGGAGGTTTTTGGGTTGTTCCCGTTTTCTTGACTTTTATTGATTGAGAAAGTGTGCGGGAGTTCGGGGCCAGTCCCCCGAATTCCTCCATCCCTTTCACGTTTCAACTGTTTAACTGCTCCCCCGCAAAAGTTAACGCCTCAATTACGTTGGCTTCGGTTTTAGTTTCAGTTTCAGTCTTTGTTTCGGCTTTTTCGGGGTTTACTTCGTGAGTTTGCTCCATATTTCAGGTATTTCAACGCTGCGTCTGACCCCATTAGTTGTCGAAGTTGCCGTGATTTGAAGTGCTTGGTCAGCTCAACTCGGATTTAAAGCTTATGTAATTCGGGTTAAGTGTGGGTCAAAAATAATACATTAAAGGAATATCTATTAGAACGAAAGAATCGGGTGTTAATTAATTGAAAGAAATTGATTTTTGACTATTTTATCAAAAAAAACTTTTAGAATTTTGAATGTAAGATTGATATTGTGTTCCCAAATTTAACATTCCTTATAGTTAATCATAAAAAAATGTATACTTTTTTTTAAATTATTTGTGTAGTTATTTTTTGATTATTTTATCAAAAAAACCATTAGACATTTTTAAATGTGTGTTTAATTTTGTGTTCCAAATTTATCTTTTCAATAGTTTACCACTAAAAATTTATACTTTTTTTTTGCGTGCAAGATTCTTACGTCCAAAAGACGAGCGTTATTCAATTTCGGTGTGGATTGGCCGGATGAAATATTCAAAACACCCCTGCAATTCGCCTAATCCTGGTTACAAATTTGTCGGGTTACAAAAGCCGGTTTGTAATTCAGTAATTCAATAGACCCCACAAGACACGGACAGACTGGGCCAACAAGAAAGTGAAAGTAAGCTGAACAGCACGGCTTATTATTATTTAAAGAAAATTGCACTCAACATGCAAGCCTTAGACAACCGACTTGACCACTTGACCACTGGGGCAGCGAAAAGGATTTTGGGGTCACGTAGTTACCACAAATGACTGCGCTCTGGTTGGGACCGGAAATCAGGCGCTTCACAGGATCGTTCTTGATGTAGAAATAGCTTTGGGTATTCTCCGCCAGATGCGATTTGCCCAGGGTGAATATGGCTCCACTAGCAGGTATATCCATTATTGTGTCTTTTGTTATACGTTTAAAACTTTATACTGGGTTTTTTTTTGGTTGGATTTTCAATATTGATTTTAGTATTAGTGTGCCTTGCATATTTTTCGCCGGTTGCATTTCAAATGTTTTTTTTTTTTATGGGGGGCCCCTAGGCGCACATATGTATATATATTTATATACACAACAAAGCCATTTGGAGTTGCGTGCTCCCAATTCCCGAGGCGGTTTGCTTCCGTGGCTTTGCTGACCGGCACTTGCGGTCAGTCGGACGATTCAGCGCGTACTGGTCAGCGAGGACTGGCAGGGCTAGCACTCTAGCCAGGCTAACTGGCTAGCCGCTAGCCACTAGCTCTCACTCTCATTTAAAACCACCCACAAATGGGCCATCAATATTGGGCCATTTTAACCCAGCTTTGCTTGGCCCCCATAAGTGTGCTATGGAAACCCAAAAATCAGCAGAGTGAGTCACCCTACCACGTCCGTTTTTCCGAGTTAAGTTATTCCGTGCTCGAAAGAGCGAGTATGGGAATTCGGTTTCTTTTCGGGGTTCGGAGTTTCGTTTCACCCACTCCTTCTTCTTTTTTTTGGTATTTATGGCATTTGTGAGTAATGTTTGCAAATCTCTCGGAATACGAGCCACGTTAAAAATAACATTATTATATATGTGACTGGGTCGTTGCTTTTCCCTTTCATTGCGCATACGTTCGTCCAGGTTTTCCAATTTTCCCGAAACACTCTCCCTTTTCCCCTGACCTGTTGACATTTTAGGCAGGACGAGTGTCCGGCGAATTTCGCGACATTTCTGAAAAGTTAATTAATTCGTTTTTGGCCGTTTTTCTATGGGTTTTTTTTTTTTGGTGAGAGGGATTGGCGACGCTTAGCCGAAATTGGCTAACGATTTTATGACCTCCAAGGCGCCGTCATAAAATAGGGCCAACTTCTGGCCAGTTCGTCCCACATTTGCCAACTTTCGCAGACAATTTGCGACCATTAATTGATTTCTGCCCGCATCCCGGGAACTTTTTCATTCGATTCCCGTACTTAGTTATGCAATAAGTGCGTTTGCCAGACGTCTGGGAAAGGCCAAAAGGTGTCCCGAGAGAAGGGGAGAATAATTGCCTGGCATTGCAGTTCAAGTCTAGAATGGAGTATCCTTAACTCATTTATATACAGTATTAAAATTATAAAACAAACTAAAATCTAAATCGATAAAAAAATAAAAGGCATCACAATTTGTATCCTTATATTTATCCTTAAAAAATAAATTTCTTACTTTAAAGAATCGTTTGAATATATGGAACATACGGAAACTATGGAGATGAGATGATATGCAAATAAATGTGGTCTTATTTACATTAAAGTACACCAGAATATTTAGAGCCCATAAAAAACTATACACAATTGGTATAAACTTTTTTATAATATTCTAAAAAGTCTTCTTTAAAGAGAAGAAGTCTTATATTTTCAGTTTTTAAATTTTATTTAACCGAACCATTATATATTGAGTTTATTAAAAGAGCTTAAGAATTATGGACAAAAGGAGATTCTATTTACTGTTTAATTAATTTATTATTTTTAAGGATTTTATTATTTTTTTGGGTAAAACCAATCAACCCAAGTTCGTCTTGGACAATCTCTACCGTTCGCGTTCGTTATTCTGTTACTTTCATTGGGTTCTGTGTTCTATTTCGCCCTGCAATGTGTAGGCCCCCGTTTGGAGTCTAAACTTTCCATATTATATGCCAGCACTTTGCCTTATTCATGTGGAAGCCCTGAGCCTTTCGAGTATGTACTCGAATGTCTGTGTAATTTATGAATCCCCTAACAAAGTTGTTTGGCCTGCAAACTGCAATTGCCCGTGCACCGCGCCTCCTTGCAGCTTTTCCGGGTTGAGGCGGAGTGGGCATGGTCTGTTGCATGTGCCAGTTAGCCAGGGAATTCGCCCCCTCCTTTCCCTAAATCCCCTGGCTGTTCCGCCTTCATCCGCTGACTTGGCAAAGGGCGAATCTTGGGCGAGGGCATGCAAATGCTGCCCACTCGTTGAACGTTGAACTCGAGGACCTCTGAGGTTTTTGCGCCTATTTTTAGTGGCCTCAAGTTGTGACAATTAGCTTGAGTTCGAGACCGAGTCCATTGAACCCCTTCGATTGGGTCAAGATGTTCCGAATGACGTAAGGCTGAATCGGTCAAAAACCTGCGGGTCAGCTGCCGGAACTCTCAAGCGATGTGTCAATAGGCTGACAAATCTATTTGGCTTTCGGAATTGTACTTACTCGGGGGCCAAAAGGTTGATTGAACCTGCCGGCAGTTCAAAGCAATCGATTTGAAAGGGGAAGAACTTGAGGGTTCCCTGCCCCAAAAATAAAACACGAAATTTGTTGACCTTCAGAGCGTTTTTCCCTTTTGTGTGTTGGTGTGTCCCTTTCGGGGGATTTGTGTTGGTCTTTTCTTGGACCGCCCAGAAAGTGGCGTGCGCTTTTCATTTCATTTTATTACCTGCCTCAAAGCTTGACCCACACACACATATACGTATTTGCGGGGGAAAAATGGCAATCATTGTGTAAATTGTTTACCTCGCCTGGCCAAAGGTGCAAAAAGGAAAACTTGTTATTTTCCCGGGGGCTTCTCGGAATGCTCTCTCTCATTCCTCACCCCTGATTTTCCACCGCCTTCTTCAATGTCAAGCGATATGGGCACGTTCCTGCAATTTAGTTTTGTTGTTTCACGTGGTGATTATTTCTTGTCCAGGGAAAAAAATATGAAATTAGCTGGGAAAAAAAGGGAGAAATGGAAATAGGAAGCCACTAAATGTAGTCTACTTCTCGACTTGCTTTAATTACAGAACCCAAAATGAGCGACGAAGGTGAAAGTAAATCGGAGCAGGCGGAGAAACCTGAAGCAGCGGAGGAGGCAGGAAAAAAAGGAGGAAATAGAAGCGAAGGAAGCTAAAGAGCCAATTCCCGATAGCCTTTCAGCCCCGCAAGTTGATGACAAGCCGGCAGAAAGTGAAACCCAATCGGATAATCAAGCAGCCAAAGCGGAGGAAGCAAAATCACAGGACTTTGCCGCCTACGAGGAGCACATGACCTATGCAGCGGATGGTGGAGCCATCTACACGGATCCCAGCACCAAGCAGAAATACAGATGGTGTACCGAACAAAACAATTGGCAGCCTTTAAGTGCCGATGAGGCAGCCAGTGCAGGAGATCTCTACGAGACGGAGCACTACAAGTGGTGCCCCAAGACGGAACAGTGGTTGCCCAAGAAGCAGCAGGAAACCGAAACGGAGCACTACAAGTGGGATGGCGAGCAGAAGAAGTGGATACCCAAGCAACCGAATCCCGGCCAGGAAGGGGTCTACGGTGTGGATGAGCAGGGAGAGCGCACTTTCACGGACAAGGACGGGGCCGAGTTCTTTTGGGATGCCTCGAAGAGTGCCTGGTTCCCCAAGATCGATGATGATTTCATGGCCCGCTACCAAATGAACTATGGCTTCATTGACAACACATCGGCGGGGGAGAAGGAAAAGGCTGACAAGGAGGCGGCTGAGGCCAAGAGGAAGGAGGAGGAGCTCAAGCGGATGACGGCCGAGGCAGAGGCAGCCATGTCCAAGGATAGTGCGGCATCCACAGCCGCACCCACCGGCAAGCGGAAGGTCCAGGAGCCACCAAGTGAGTGGGATAGAAAATATATACTCCTTTTCTACACAAAAAAAACAATATGTAAAATCAACTAATTTAATAGTAAAAACTGCCCCATCTTAAAAAAAAAAATAGAAAATTCCCAAAAGAAATAGTATATTACCTTCAAAAAGTAGTACCTTATACCATTGAATAAACAATTTATCGTAAAAGAGGAAAATCTATAGACTTAAAAACCACATTAAAAAAAAATCACAACCCAGAGATTATGATTCGGATACTCTAGCCAGAAAAGTCCAGAAAAATAGTTGACCTACAATTAATAATTGTAATTTAAAAAAAAACAAAATATATGAAGGCAAAAAAAAGTTGTGCTACGATGTTAATTGTTAATTCAATGCCACAAAAAATAGAACAACAAAATACACGTAAACAAATAAAAAAGTATTGCTACGATATTAATTGCGACGTTACTATTAATTTGCCAAATGAATAAAACAACAAAATACATGCAAATCTCGTAAATAGGTTTTCTATTATTTTAATTGTTAAATACTATTCAGTGACCCAAAAAATATAACACCAAAAATACAGAAAATAGTGAACTACTATTTTCCTATGTTGATTTTTCATAGTTTTTTTTTTTTTGTACCACATCTAATCACCTATTTCCTTGTAGAATGGTTCGAAATGGATCCCTCGCAGAATACCAAGGTCTACGTCTCCAATTTGCCCCTGGACATTACCATGGATGAGTTTGCCGATCTGATGGGCAAGTGCGGCATGGTTATGCGGGATCCCCAGACCCAGAAGTTTAAGCTGAAATTGTATGCCGAAAAGGATGGTCAGATCAAAGGTGATGGCCTCTGCGATTACATCAAGGTGGGATATTAAAAACGAATGTTTTGCGATTTCTTTTTGTTTTGTGTTTTCTCAAACTTTATTCATTTATTTTACTTTGTTTGCTTCTTAACTAGAATTTATCTTGCATAAATATTATATGGTAATTTTATCATATGTTTTCGTATTTCATTTGTGTGTTCTGCTTTTTCCTTTCTCTTGCTTTCTCTTTGCTTACGTTTCGCTGACTATTTAGTTGTATTCGCTTTTCATTTCTCCGTGTGTAGATTAATGATAATATTTAAAATTGGTTAGTTTACTATTAAAATGCATTTACTTGGCTATAAAATTGCTTTTCCTTTCGATTTCATTCCCGTCCCTGCCAGCTTTCAATTTCCATTTTAAACGAAACAAAACGTACTGAAAGTTGCCTTCGGGGTTTTTTCTCCTTTTCTTCTTTTTTTTTTGCTTTTCGCTTGAGGTATTAAAAAATACATAAAAATTTACATTTAAACATACTTTAGTTATTACATACATCTTTGTAAAGTATAGTTTGTAACCTAAGAAGTTAGGAAATGGCCGTTGACCATCCACGATGATGATGTTATCAAAAGATTATTATTAGTAAATTATTGCTTCGCTGGCGACCCATTTAAAAGGACACCTTAGGCAAACCGAGTTTGGGGAGTCCTCCATTCAATCTTACGTCTTCTTCGTCACTACTCAATATTCCCGTGGTTCTGTGCTGAGTTTAAAAATGCCCGTGTGATTTGCGTGTGTGGGGTTTATTGGCTCTAAAATTGATGGCTAACTTCTAGTTCTAGTTCGGTTATTAAGGAAACATGCGTGACTGGTTGCCGTGTGTGTGTGTTTGTGTGTGGGGTGTGTCTATATCCTAGACCTATATATAGTATATCTTTACTGTACAGTACTAATAGAGCTAGCGAAGTGCAGGGAGATTGGGTTTCCTGCTCGATCGAAATGCAATTGAAATTAGATTCCCCTTCGCAGCGATGTTCCTCCTTTCTTTCTCTTCTGGTAAATAATACTTTTGCGTGTTTGTTTTTCCAGCTAAAAAGCACAAAGAAAACCATCGAAAAGGGATCGACTGGGCAACGGTGCGTATGTGGAACCAATTTGATCGATATGTCTCGGTTAGTATTGGTTAGTGGGTGGTGGTGATCTGCCGCCTGGACTCCCCCTACTCGTTGTCATCCAGCCGCATGGCCTGCTGTATCCGCTTGAGCTCCTTCGCCCGCTGGTCTCGCTCCTTCTTCTCCTTGAGCTGCTTGCGCCGCTTGCGCATCTCGATGAACTTCTTCTGGTCCTCGGGACTCAGCGCCGAGATGCGACTGGCGTACTCGCGCCTCTTCTCCTCCAGCTTGGCCTTGACCTCCTCGTCGGCCAGCTTCTTGGCCGCCTCGACACGACGCTTCTGGTCGGCGGCCTTGGCCTCCTCGGCGGCCCGCTCCTCGGCCTCCTTGGCCTTGCGCGCCTCCTCCGCCTGGCGCACCTCGTCCTCCAGCCGCTGCTTCACTGCCCGCTCCTCCTCGGCCACCTCCCGGCGCAGCTGCTCCTCCTCCTCGGCCAGCTTCTTCTCGGCGGCCAGTCGCTGGGCGATTTCCCGATCGCGCTGAATCTTCTGTTCCTCGCGCCGCCGGTTGTCCTCGTGCAGGCGCTTCAGCTCCTTCTCCTCGAACCGCTTCGTCTCTTCCAGCCGCTGGAGTTCGAGGCGCTTCTCCTCCTCCTCCTGCTCGCGGCGAATCTGCTCCTGGCGCTCCTCCTCCTGCTTCTTCAGCTGCTCCTGCAGCTGTTGCTCCTCGCGCCGCTTGGCCTCGTGCGCCTCGGCCAGCTGCTTCTCGCGCTCCGTGTTGGCCTGCCTCAGTCGCTCCTCGTACAGCTCCTGCAGTCGCTTCTCCTCGGCCAGGCGCTTCGCGTGGTTCTGGCGATCCAGTTCCTCCTGCTCCTCGCGCTGCTTGCGCCGCTGCTCCTCGCGTTCCCGCCGCTGTTCCGCTTCCAGTTCGCGCTGCTTGTGGATGCGCTCCTGGCGCAGCTTCTCGGCTGCCTCATCGGCGGCATGCTGGCGCTCGGCCTCCAGCTGCCGTTGCTTCAGCAGCTCCAGCTCCTGGTCGCGCTTCTGCTTCTGGTACTCCTGCTCCTGCTGCTGACGCTGCTGCTTGGCCTTGAGTTCGCGAAGCTGCTGCTGCTGATTCTCCTCCAGCTGCTGCTGATGCTGCTGCTCCTCCTCCGCCTGCCTGATCCGCTCCTGCTCCTCCTTTAGCTTCTTTTCCTGCTCCTCTTGCTGCTTCCTTTCCTGATCCTCCCTCAGCTTCCTTTCCTGCTCCTCTGCCGAACGCTGACGCAGTTCATCGACCACCTGGGGCTTGGGATCATCGTGCTGCAATCGCTGGCGGCGCTGCTGCTCCTCCCGCTGCAATCGCTGGCGCTCCTCCCGCTGGCGACGTTGCTTCTCCTGCTTCTGTTTGCGAGCCAACTTCTGGCGCTCCTGGCGACGCAACTGGCGGCGACGTTCCCGCTCCCGCTGGCGTTGCAGCTTGCGATCATACTGGGTCATCTGCTGGGGCGTCGGTGAGGCAGCCAGGACATCATTAGATGGATTAACCGATTGGGGAGACGGTGGCGCCACAGTGGTGCTGGTGGCACGAGGACGATTCCTCTGACGTTGCTCCCCCGGCTGGTAGTTCACATCGTTGGGATGCTGATTCTGGTTTGGCACCTGGCGGTTTCTCTGGTTATTGCGGCGATTATTATTGCGTCGTCGGTTGGGGATGATCATCTCCTCGTCGCTGCCCTCGGCCTTCACACGTCGATGGAATCTGTTGAGAAATAATTAATTTAATTTCTATATTTCATCTCTTTTTTTTCAGGTGGAGAGTGTCAATCTGGCGCTGAAAATCCTGGACGAGTACAATCTGCGAGGCCATAAAATTCGCGTCCAGAGAGCTCAGTTCCAGATGCGCGGCGAATACAATCCCGCCCTGAAGCCCAAGCGCAAGAAGAAGGACAAGGAAAAGTTGCAGAAGATGAAGGAAAAGTAAGTGATTCCCAAACTAAATCAGAATTAAATCCCTATATTAATATACTGCTTTCCCATTTTTAGATTATTCGACTGGCGGCCAGATAAAATGCGTGGCGAGCGCTCAAAGAATGAGAAAACTGTTATCCTCAAGAACCTTTTCACACCCGAACTGTTTGAAAAGGAGGTGGAACTCATCTTGGAGTACCAGAACAATCTGCGTGAGGAGTGCGGCAAGTGCGGAATGGTCCGCAAAGTGGTCATCTATGATGTAAGAAAACCTGAAGATCTTAAAGAGCCAGCAGTTTCTTATATGTATACCATTCTCAGCGCCATCCTGAGGGCGTGGCCCAGATCAACATGTCCTCGCCGGAGGAGGCCGATCAGGTGATTCAAATGATGCAGGGCCGCTATTTTGGCCAGCGACAGCTAAGTGCCGAGTCCTGGGATGGCAAGACCAAATACAAGTGAGTTTTACATCAGTATAGCTTCAATATCAGTTGATAACTCTTTAATATCCCACAGAATTGATGAATCAGCCACGGAGGCCAGTGAGCGACTCTCCAAGTGGGATGACTTCTTGGCCCAAGAAGAAGCTGAAGATAAAAAAGCAACAGCAGAGGAGCAGAAGGACGAAGATGACAACTCCCCGGAAAGCCAGCTGTTGCCAGGAGATGTCACCCCTTAGCTTCAATTTACCTGCGATCGTTTGCACGCGGCTCGAGAATCTCCAGAACCACCTCGTTGGCCTGCTGATTCGGATAGGTGGCGTTCCAGCGATTGTAGATCTTGTAGCGATTCGGCCCGCTCACCTTGGGCATCTTGTGCTGGCAGATGAAGCGCAACTTATCCGAGCAGGGACGCGCCGACCAGCGGTACTTGAGATTCGGATCGTAGATGGCACAATTGCTGTCCATCGGTTGGCTGTTGGAGATAAGTTGCACATAGCTAGAATTGTTGCTTAAGCGTTAAATCAATCTACGGAAATAAAGGAAGAAAGGAAAGAGCATCGAAGGGTTGACTTACGTGGGATCGGTGCGGCTGAAGGAGTCGTTGGTCAGATTGCGGCCACTCATGCTCCACTGCCATTGGTTGTTGTGGTGATCATAGGTGGCTCCCAGCCAGATGGGATCTTTCTCTATAGGTTAAAGAGGGAGGATTTAGTTTTACCGCTTAATACTAAGAATTAAATACCAGAAATGGTGGTATGATGGTTTTATTTAATTATGGTTAATCAGATGTTTACTAGAGCCCTGCATTAATCAATCAATTTTTGTTTTATCATAGTATGCCATGAAATTTCTGATTTGCTTAATTTAATTCTATGTGAACTAAATTAAATGTTTTTTTTAAATTCATTTCGAATTAGAATTAGAAATGAATGAATAATTTTTATGAATTTTTTGAATTTCTTTTGAGAACAAAAAGTGAAAATTTTTAGCAAATCAATGTTAACTGTTTACTAAATCAAAGTTAGGCAGATTTAATCACAAAACAAGAGGGAACGTTATAGTCGGATGCCCCGACTAACCAAACCCCTTTTCCCAGGGAAAGGGGGGGGGGGGGGGGGGGAAAAAAAAAAAAAAAATTAATACCCCCTAAAATTTTAAAAAAAAGTTCAAATAAAAAAATTTCTTTTTCTTTTTTTTAATTTAAAAAAAAAAAAAAAAAAAAAAATTTTTTTTTTTATAAAAAAAAAAAAAAATAAAAAATAAAAAAAAAAAATTGTTGGTGTTGGGGGGGGCCTTAAAAAAAAAAAAAAAAAAAATACCTTTAAAAAAAAAAAAAAAAAAAAAAAAAAAAAAAAAAAAATTTTATTTTTTTTATTTTTTAAAATTTAAAAAAAAAAAAAAAAAAAAAAAAAAAAAAAAAAAAAAAAAAAAAAAAAAAAAAAAAAAAAAAAAAAAAAAAAAAAAAAAAAAAAAAAAAAAAAACCAATAAAAAAAAAAAAAAAAAAAAAAAAAAAAAAATTTAAAAAAAAAACTTTTTTTTCTTTAATAAATTTAAATAAAAAAAAAAAAAAATAATTTTAATTTTTTTATAAAAAAATTATATCCCCTTCTTCTTCAAAAGAAATTGTCGTTTGAATTATTTCGAATTCATGCCATTCATTCATTCAATTCTCAAAATTCAAATACATTAAATTCTATTAAACTCAAAATTCTAATTAGTTCATTCATATAAAACAAAAAATTCAAAATCCATTCAAGCAGGGCTCTAATGTTTACTCACCTCCTGAAAGGGCATCCTGTTTCTGGAGGAACTGCCTCAGCTTCTTGTCGGCATGCTTTCCCGGCTCCGTGAGATTGGCGTTCTTGTCCTTGCAGAAGAAGTGCGCCTCCAGCCAGCTGCTGCGCTGCTCCACCAGCGAGTAGCAATCGGTGCCCACGCGATGGAATTGTGGCGGACACAGGGCGTATACGCGACGCTTCGGCCTGCTTGTTGGAGTCACTGCATCCGTATTGAGAGCCGGCGAGGGGCCATCGAAGCTAATGCCGGCATGAGCTGCGCTGGAATGGAACTCCGCCGGAATCGTGTGGGCAACTGTGGGCCATAAAAATAATAAATATAATAAATCATCGCGGGAGCTGCATGTGCAAGCACTCACATAAAGCTAAGATAAATACTTGGCAGCACCACATTTTATGGCTGCCACTCATCCTGATGCCTCTGCTGCTCCTTGATGCTTGATGGTGTGCGGGGATTGTATTCCTGTTTTGTTGTTCCTAGGGCTATTATGAATCTCTGGCTGCTCTGTTTTGGCCACTTCTTACATCGCTCGACGGGCTGACGGTCTGCAAAAAAAGGGGGAATGAAACGAAAACAAACGATGAACATTCGTTAATCTCTCAACTCGTCTGCTTATCATAATTTCATTTCAGCAAATGTTTGTTTTATGCAAATATATTCCGGAGGAGAAGCCTCTAACAAGTGTTTCCGTTGATGGATGGACACACAAACGCCTCCACACCAAAAGCCAAAAAGCAAGACAAATTGAGCCGACGGGAATACACATATTCGAATAGATTTATTTTATTTATTGGCCCCCATTCATAAACAGCTTTTGGCCACGAAACTGGTCATCATCATCATCTCTGGGTTTAGTCACTGTCCACTCAACGAGCGGCTCATTTGGCCGGCCATTGTGTGGCGTTTCAATTAGCACTTTCATAACTTTAACCACCTCGTCAAGTGGCAGACAACCTGGTCAAAAGCCGTCACTGTAGCTGCCACTGCCACTGGGGCTTGTTATTGCATTCTATTTTCAATTTGTTGACACACCGAGTGCCTCCGAGTGTGTGAATTGTGTGTGTGCCAGTAGTGCTGGCTGCAGTGACCCACTTTTCTCATATAAATGAGTGGAATTGCCGCGGGTTAATCCGCTAACTGTTTTAGAGGGTCTCTGATGGGTTATTCTTGGTACAACTGCAAGTTAAGGTCTTAAATAAATTGAGTTGCGTTCTTTAAGATGGGAAACTTGCAACATTTAATAACTACTTTTAATACTAGAAAACCAATTAGCATCTGATCTTAGCATTGACATTTAAGTTACCAAACATGTTATAAGTAAACGTTTATTAAAGAGTTTTAATATAGTTAAAAATATGTTTTTTTATGATAATGATGAACTTTAAAAATACGAATTAAAAATTAAAACTTGAAAAAAAAGGTCACTTGTACTTTTCAGGCAGCTGCTAAAAACACAAATTTTCGAGGCAAAGTTAGATTTCAAACTGAGCTAAAAAGTAAACATTTATAAAAGAGCTTTAAATATAGCCAAAATCTTTTTTTATGATAATTCGAAACTTTTTAAATACGAATTAAAAATAAAAACTAAAAAAAAGGCCACTGAAATGGTTGTTTTCAGGCAGCTGCTAAAAACCTAAATTTCCAAGGCAAAATTAGATTTCGATTTAAAACTGAGCTAAAAGTGAAAGTAAAGAAGATCTAATGATAAACGAAAAATGTAATTAAAAGTTGGGCCTTCTCTGCAGGCTCGACCATTACATGTCTTTCACCTTTGACTTTCCACTAAACTTAATTAAATGATCTATCATTTGAAGCTCTTAGCGATGGAATACCGGTTTAAATTGCACTCACCGAGCAAATTATGGGCTAGATTGTGTCATTTTAATTGAGCCATTTGAACGTGCGGCTAATTTGACGCCGCCCCTTTCTTTGCCCCCAAAGACCAGCGACGCACACGTATGCTCACGGCTAATCATATACAATTCCTGTAAAATAATTCATGCCCACGAAAGCAAACAAATTAAAGGGGGGAAAGATATGGTAAGAAAAAGAGTTAAAGAAGTAAACACACGCCGGCCAACTGGATTGACAGCTTCGCCAGACAGGCCGGAGTTGCTGGGCTCAGTTGTCTTGGCCCGAAGCCCCTGTTGGCTTGTGCCTCTTGGCTTTTCTTGGCCAACGCCAATCGACAGCAAATTCCTCAACGGTGACGACTTGACATTCATTATAGGCCCGATACACGGAAAACTAATTTTTTTAAATATTTAAAAACCGCACTTAAGCACTTACGTTTTTTATGACATGTAGGTGTGTCTTGGATAATAGGTTTTATAATATCGGATTCCAAACGAACGCGATAATTAAATATGAGCTCAGCTAAAAGCATTATATAAATATAATAATAAGATCTTACTTTTAAGATATTTTAAAGAAATTAAATGTTTTAATATATTTAAAACATTTTAATTACGACTGACCAAATAAAAAGTTTATTTTTAACAGAAACCAAAATAAAAATTAATTTGGACCTTTTTTTTTTTTGTTAATCTGAAGAATATAAGTTAGTAATCCAATCTCACAGGTTGTGTTTGAGAATATAGATAAGCGCTTTAAAAAATATTTTTAATTCTAAACTATTTAAATAATGATATAATAATTTCCACAAGATTTTCCAATAATTGCACTATTTTTTCCGTGTACCGATCTTGGCAAGGTTCAGTGGCTGTAACTGCTGCCTCCGCAGTTGGTTTGTTTACCTGCTTTCTGGTTTGTTTGCTCGAACCGATGACGCGATGACGCGAGAGTTCCCGGTAGATATAGACCTTCAAGACACCGCCGATCCACGATTCTGTCAACATTATTACAGCTCGACATTCGTTTAAGTGGCTAATAAAAAGAGAGACGGCACCCACACGCAAGTAGGCGCAGGGAAAATGTCTGCGAGTGGGCGGAATTTGACTGATTTATGACCCACTTCCAATGCAGTTGGCTGTGGGTGCCCAGACGACATTCAAATGTCGCGGAAAATGATGAAGGGGAAATCGTAAGGCCTTGATCTTGAACTTGGGCGCGTCGGTAATAATTTAAGTTAAGGCATTACGGCATCGAAAATTTGATTTTAATTGGATCGTATCAACAAGTTTCCGAGAAACGGAGTCATATAATATTGTTTGAAAAAATTCAACGACTTGGGAAATCAATCTGGCGGCAGCTTAGACCCAAAAAGTATTTAAATTTGTGTTTTATACTTTTTAAAGGCAGTGCTCCGTCTGTAGAACTAATCCGACCCTTTCCCGTAACCTTGTCCAGATATTCGAGGTTGGAGATAAGCTCATCAGCACTTTGGGTTTTAAGCCTCGGATTTTAAATACCCAAGGGAAGCGCAATGAGAACGGGTATCGTATTTGAAAAACACACGTGTGGCCCCTCTCCAACCAAAAAAACGATGCTGATAAATGAGCAAGGGGCGTGCGATTACCTTTTTGAAGGGGGTTTCCTCTATTTGGGAACCGAATTTACATTTATGAGGTGCTATTTTGGTGCTTCGCTGGGAATTAGCATAAATTACGGACTTCCACGAAGTGTTTATGCCTATGCGATGATAGTGTCGTAATTAGAATCGCATCAAAAACAGCGCTGAAAATTTAAGAACTGCGAACTGCGAGGGAATTGGAAATAATTGAGATCTCTTGAGCAGATCATCACCCACTCGCAGAACTCGTCGGCAATCAATCAAATCCCCAAAACGAATTCGAGTTAAAAGCAAAAGTTGAATGGCTGCGTCAATGGCGAAAAAAAATACATCTTTGGACTTAACCTCTTCACGACGGGTTCAATGCAAACGGCTGCCAAATAAATCGAAAGAGCTTAGAGATCGGCATGCGGCTTGGGAAGTGGACAAATTGGTAACATTAATCTTGACCATGTCATATCTATGTTGCGGGAGTTCCTGGCCGGCAGATGTCGTAATCAATTATGGGGGAATCAACCCGTTCTTGGCATAATTAAGTTGGCAAACGAATTTGCATAGATTTTATTCGCTTGGCGAAGTAAACAAACACGAAAATTCGATAGCAAAATACCAGTTTGCGGCTTAATTAAAGGTAAATGTTTTTGTGCGGTTAATTTGTAGCCATAGGAAGTTAAACATTTATAAATACAACAAATGGGTTTTCTTTTCGTTTGATTCGCTCTGGCTTAATTAATTTATGCGCATTTCATTGATTTAAATGCAATCACAGTGCGCGCCACACGAAATAGTTCAGAAAACCGGGTGTAAATGGTGGCTATAAATTGCACTGCACAGCTTTTCATTCCCCTAGAAAATCGCGGACGAGCCATATAATTTATACGCATCTCTGCCAGATTCCAACCAATCACTTGCTGCTCCGTCTGCCTCGATTGCAGCGAAAAGTAGCCGAGAAACGTTTTCACAGCTGCCATTTCAGCCATTTCCAACCATTTTGAGCCCCAACCACCCCTTGAAAATTTCTACCTCTGTGCAATTGCCAGCATTTTCATGGTTCACCTGTGCGGAATCTGTCGGTGAGGAGCCAACACGTAGCGGTTGTGGTTCGAGCAGCCATCTCCGCATCTGTCGTGCCTTTTGACTGAAGTTTTCCATCTTTATTCTGGGGCCCCCATCGAGGGTCTTTGCTATCGTCAGCTGGCAACTTTGTCCTCTCGGAATTTCCGAGCTGTCCACTGATACACATCTCAACACCCAGCTAAGCGTGCAGTTAGAAAAAATATCGTTTTATATCCCATGCAAAAGTTTTTAAAATTTATAACCATGAATTAAGAAAATACAAAGATTTATAGAAACTTAAGAACTTTGAGTTTTGTAATATATGTATTTAATGATAATTATAATGTATTTATATGTAGAAAATTTCTTCAACAAACATTTCAAGTTTAAAAAATTTAAATTAATAATAAGTTAAAATTGTGACATTTAACAGCATTTCAATAACCATTAATTTGAAATCACATTTTTTATTCCTGTGTAAATTTACTATACCCTTCACTGGCAAACGGGAAAAGTGAAAGTCATTTAGTTGCTGACAAGTCATTGTGTCTGTTGTGTGTTTGCTGCTTTGACAGGACGATGGCATTGCAGAGCAACTCAGCACCACAGGTCCCATGCGGCGTATGCGCGATATCAAGTATACGCAGTGCCAGGCCATGAGGCTGCACTTTTCAATTGAATTTGAGTGCATTTAAAGTTTCGACTCTGTTTTTCTGCTGCTGCTGCGGGCCAAGTTGAAATTAATTTACAGTTTCGCCGCCGAAAAAAATAGAAAACTTTTTTAATGAGTTTAGATGAATTTTAAATGGACTCCTTCCGGTTGGATTTCTGCCACTCAATGGAGCAAAAAGGAGAACAGAAAAAGGGGAAAGCATTATAAATTAAAAATCTCCTTTTCCCCCTGTCCAAAGTCATAAATTTAATTTTTGGATCTCCAGATTCAGGCGAAAGCCAAAGGCAATTCATCAGAACTCATCACAAATCAACTTGGCTGCAGTTTGAATCCCACGGAGCA